CTGCTGTAAAATTTAGGGTAAGTGGAACAAGAGCAATGGAGCAGGCAACAGAGGAAACTTTAACTCATTGCTTCGCAGACTGGGTATACGACTTTAATGGAAACACGTGGTTTATAGTGTTTATAGGGAGCTGAGAAAGCTTCTCGTTTCTTAGAAATGGCAATCCAGGGGGTAGAATGCGCCCCACAAACTTCTAGGCCTCGTTCTCTCCATGCACACAGTCTGTTTTCCCCAAAGGTATTACAGAACAAATTCCTTAGCATGTTCAGCAATGTGTGGATTGACTGAAGATTCCAACTGTGAAGAAGTTCAATTTGAAGAAGTTTTTGGCTGCCAGAGGAATTCCAGATGCAGAGGCTTTAATGGCCATTCTAATGGTTTTGAGTGATATAGGTCTTTGATGGTGGAATTGGCTTGAGGAATTTTGTGTTGCAGAGAAGAAACCACCAATATCTACTATAGATGAGTTTGAAGTTGCTTTTTATTTACATTTTACCCCTCATTATGATGTGAAGAATGCTTGCACAAAACTTTGACATTTCTAGCAAAGGAAAATGAGCTTACTCACTTGATAAGCTGTGTTCCAATGAAGGATCCAGATCAAAACAAATCCTACTTCTTGATAGCCTTCATAGTGAGAGCATGAGGCAGCACTCATCATTCCCAACTTATAAAGAGTTTGAAATGACAAACACAAGGCTCCCAAGTGTTTGAGGAGTCCTTCAGTCAAGAATGATCGTAATAATCATTGTGGACACAAGGACAGGAACAAACATCACAAGTTGAAGTTTGTGATGACCATCGGATGCAAAAGGGTTGAAGAAGCAAAAGTTCTTTGTGAAGAATTATAGCCAAAGTTATCATCATTATGGCAAGCTTAGACACTACAAAATTGATTGTCCTCAGCTGAAAAACAAGAAACAAAGAAAAAAGAATGGCCAATCTTCTAATGAAGGCAAGTTAGATACGAAGAAGTTGCAATGTGAGGATAATGAGAAAGACTGTTTTGGTTAGAGGAAGACGCTTTCGATCATTGCTCATCAACTAAATTATGTGTTGAAAAAGATGGAGTTCGAGGACACTCATGCATCAGCTTTAATGCTAGAGGGCATGTTTTATGGTAGTCCAATGTGGATTTTATTGGATAGTGGAAGTGATGACATTTTGTTTCAGCAAAGTTTGTTGAGGAATATGGCCTGGTGACATGAGGAGTTCTTTTATACATGGTGGAAGGTGTAACTACCCTTTTTTTAACAATTCGATGCTTCTGTAAAGTGGCTAAAAGTGTTGGTTGGCCAAACCACACTTGTGGAGATTTTATATATTGCAGACATCCATCGTGTGAATCTCAGTTTTGGGATGCCATGGTTGGTGAGGGTGGATCTGGAAATAAAAAGTGGTGTTACATGTGGGGGGACCCAAGAAAATTCTGGGTCCTCTCATGTTATATGCACCTCTTTTGGGCAATTGGAGCCTGGAATCCATTTGGGTCGACCTAGGAGAGCCCGGGGCCCCAATTCTGGGCCTAGGATCCTCCAAGTCAACCCTAGAGGAACCTTGGCCATACATGTGGCAACCTAAATTTGTTTTAGATCTGGTGGAAATGAGGCTGTGCTACAGCTAGTGCACCCAAGAAAATTCATGAGAGATGGAATCACTACACCATCCCTCAAGAGGACAATCAGGTAGCTCAAGAGTGGTGCAACCATAAGCTACAAACTAAGTAAGCGTTAGAGAATTTTTGTATTTGTATTCATGATGCATTTCTAAGAAAACTTGGCATCTCTAGCATCATTTTCAGTTCAGAATTCTTATTTGTTTGCAAGGCAGAGTCTTGGGGATGCCCTAGTGAGCTAAAATTTTCATTTCATTTAAGCTAAATTTTTCTTTTTAGGAAACACAATTAGACTTAGAACTCATGGAAACTCCACAAGTAAGTGCCTTAGAATTTGGATTGTGCTTCTAAAAACATGTTTAGTGTAGTTTATGTAGTAGTCACTTACTCAACAAAGTGTTTCCACCACCAAAACTTCTCTAAGTCCACAAGACCTATCTAATGTGAGTTTTTCAAGTTTAAATTTTGGTTTGAGTTTGCTTTTCCTTCTGCATTTCAGTTGACCTTGGTTCTTTCCTTATCTATAGCTATGTCTCAGGAAATACAGCTACAAGTTGCCTCGACACCTCAACTTTCAATCTCTTAAATCCAGACTAGTGGAAGTGATTCAAAGTATTTTAAATAGAAGATTGCAGTTAGGAAGGAGAAGATATGGACACTAGAGTGTAAGTTATAAATTTTGCCTTTCCAATTTGCGAACTTACTCTTTTTATCTGACCACCACTACCTTAGCTTTAGTTAAGTTTCCTTACCAAGGTTTCTACTTATTGTACTAGCTCGTACTTAGTTTTAGCTACTCATTACATGAGCAATGAAGTGTTAGCCATCCATCCATGAATTCTTAAATTCTCTCCTAATGCCCCTCCCCAGATTAGACTAGACTTAAGGTTCAAATACACTCTTCGCAAGCACAAATAGCCAAACACACTAAGCCTCTAAATTTCTAACCTCCCTTGGTACCACAAGACTTGATCCTGGGACCCTCTAATCCCAAGCCTAGAGGCATCACTTGTTTTGGGACCTTGAGGGGTGGCCTAACGGGCTGGTATGGGTACTCTATTCCCCCACTTCCATCCTAAAGGGAAGGCCCAAACCCCTAGGATGGGGCAAGGATAATTGAGCCATATAATACTCAAGTGGGGCACCACTCCACATGAGCTAGGAGCACCATTGTCAGTTTTCCTTCCAAGAGTGGGAGCTGCTCTTAAGCACTTCCTTGGGTGTTGTCACTGGCACCATCTGAGTCTATGCTCACTGTCGCGAATGTGACTTCGGGTATCGAAAGTTACCTGTCAGCTAGTCCTTACGGACACTCTTACCTTACTGCCACGATGGCAGGAGGTCGGTATTGCTGGACCCTTTATCAGCCCCTCTTGTTCAAGTGTTAGTAAACTGGACTTTGCATCTGTACTTGGCCGGATGAGCATAAGGAAGGAATTCTTAAGTGTCTATTGAGCTGAGCATACTTGGCCCGGCTTGTTAGTTCTCTTTTGCTCTGTCTTGCACTGGCTTGACAAGAACCCTCGCGTATTGAGATTGGTCCCTTAATATCGCTACATGATAGCTTACCGTGTCTGCCAAACACCTTCGCTATCATGCCCTTTGTGTTAGTCTCATTTCGGTCCCAAATGCTATTTATGGAAAGTGTCCAGATTTGCTCATTTGGCATATCTGTGGAATGTAGAGATTGTCCTGAACACAATGGTGTTCTTCCCGTGCCCAAATTCGCAATCTAGGGACATTCCATATTTAGTAAGTTTCGAGCTTGTCCCAGAGACTAACTCCTGATACTAAGGGAGGCTTGGGGTGAAAGCCCAAAGCGTGTGTTCCTCAAGGGGGGGGGGGCTGTGGGGGGTTCCAAATGTATAGTAGGGATAGTGGGTAGGTCGGGCATGGCCGACCAACCTGAGGCATAGTCTAGCTCCCGCTTGCGTGCCTGTCCTTGTTCTGCGTCCGGCTTGGGTCTAAGCCCAAGTTCCATTCCATGCTAGTTGGTGGAGTACCCATATCCTCGCGTTAGGCCACCGGTATGCCGAAATAGCGCTAGACTCCGTTTGGCTCCGTTTTGCGTGCTGGTCCTGGCATTAGGATGCTGGTTACTCTAGGACTGTTCCAAGTCGCTTCGGGCCCCTGTCCCTTCGCTCCTTGGGCTGTATGCTCGGGAGTTGCTCCGTGGTCCGGTTCCATCACTCCCCTGCTCCACGCTTGGGAGTTTGGCACCGTTCCTTTGTTCAGTGGCCCAAGGCCCTGAACCTCAGGTTCCTATGGACACGTGGCATGGACACGTGGCATGTGACACGTGGCATCTGTCACGTGGCACAAAGAGGGTTTAGGTTCCGCTTCGTGGTGTTATCCTATGGTAAATTACCATAGGATAAAGGGTCAAAACCACGTGCGCTACATTTGGTATCAGAGAATGAGTCTCAGCGAGTACTATTCAATGAGATTGGGCAACTAGTCTTGTTGCATACGCAGAGATGAAAACGATGATCCGAGTGGGTACACGTTTTGGTGCAAAGGGTTCACATTCGTTCCTTGGGTATGGTTTTGGTTACCTTTTGTACCTAACAATGTGAGCTTGCTCTTGGGCTCATAGGATGGATTTGAGATGCTCCGTTAGCACGAGTTTGAGCTTGGGCTCGTGAGTGAGGCATATTAGCAACTCAAGGTTACACTTTGAGTTGGCAGGATTAATGTTAGCCTATCGGTGGTCCCATGAGTTGTTCCATGTACGATGGATGAAAGCAAAACCTTTCCCTGGGTTTGCTATGAGTGGCAAATAGGCTGGTCCGTAGCTGTTTAGCACGGCACTAGTGGATCCTTCCTAGGCATGGTTACAAGTGGATCAGTCAAGACTGTAGGGATTAGTCTATTGGTTCAAGTAATCATTGCCGTGCTCTCTCATAAACTTTTCTTGGATTGGACTGAAGGCAGTGCGAAAGCAAGCTTGAGGTGTAGTCAAAAGATAAGACCGAAAAGAGAGTCGTCGGGGACGAAGGATCAAACACGTAAATCATTTTCTTTTCTTGAAGAAATGATTTGCAATGAGGTGTTGACTCATTGCTCGTATTCACATTATGCAATCAAGAATCCCTATCTTGATGCATGATAATTATGATGGTCTTACAAGTGGTGAGTTATGGGATGGATAGCGGTGAAACGCTAAACCATTGTGGCTAAGCTCGCTATTGGAAGACTTGGGTTACAATGCTCAATTCTTTTCCGGGG